TATTCAACCATTTCAGGAGGTAGCATACGATCAAGAACCAGTGGTACTGAAGGAAGAAGTCCAAGCTGCACTGAAGGCATTGGTGAAAAACAAGGCTCCAGGAATTCACAGAATACCAATTGAGATGTTTCAACAAACGGATGCAGCGCTAGAAGCACTCACTTGTCTGTGCCAAGAAATCTGGACGACAGCTACCTGGCCAATCAACTGGAAGAGATCCATAGTTGTGCCCATTCCACAGAAAGGTGACCCCACCAAATGCAGAAATTATCGAACAATATCATTAATATCACACACAAGTAAAATTTTGCTGAAGATAATTCAAAAACGGTTACAGCAATACATCAACAGGGAAGTGTCAGAAATTCAAGCCAGATTCAGAAGAGAACGTGGAACGAGGGAAATCATTATTGATGTCAGACGAATCTTGGCCAAAAGCAGAGAATACCAGAAGGATGTTGACTTGTGTTTTATTGACTATGCAAAGGCATTAGATTCTGTGACGCATAACAAATTATGGATAACATTGCAAAGAATGGGAATTTCAGAATACTGAATTGTGCTCTTGAGGAACCTGTACATAGACCAAGGGACAATCATACAAACAGAACAAGGGGATACTGCATGGTTTAAAGTCAAGAAAGGTGTGCGTCGGGGTTGTATCCTTGCACCATACTTATTCAATCTGTATGCTGAGCAAATAATCCGAGAGGCTGAACTGTATGAAGAAGAATTCGGCACCAGGATTGGAGGAAGACTCATTAATAACCTGCGATATGCAGATGATACAACCTTGCTACTGAAACCGAAAAGGACTTAAAGCACTTACTGATGAAGATCAAAGACTATGGCCTTCAGTATGGATTACATCTTCACAGAAGGAAAACAAAAATCCTCACAACTGGACCAATAAGCAACATCATGATAAACGGAGAAAATACTGAAGTTGTCAAGGATTTCATTTTACTTGGATCCATAATCAATGCCCATGGAAGCAGCAGTCAAGAAATCAAAGCACATATGGCAAAAGACCTCTTTAAAGTGTTAAAAAACAAAGATGTCACTTTGAGGACTAAGGTGCACCTGTTCCAAGCCATGGTCTTTTGAATCGACTTGTATGTATGTGAAAGATGGAAAATGAATAAGGAAGACTGAAGAACTGATGCCTTTGGTTTATGGTCCTGGCGAAGAATAATGAATATACCATGGACTGCCAGAAGAATGAACAAATCCCCCTTGGAAGAAGTACACCCTTAGAAGAGAGAAGGGTGAGACTTCATCTCACTTACTTTGGATATGTTATCAGGAGGGACCAGTCCCTGGAGAAGAACAAAACGCTTGGTAGAGGGTCAGCGAAAAAGAGGAAGACCTTCAAAGAGATGGATTAATATAGTAGCTGCAACAATGGGCTCAAATATAGCAATGTTTGTGAGAGTGGTGCACGACCAGGAAGTGTTTCGTTCTGTTGTACATGGGGTCGATATGAGTGGCATCTGACTTGAGGACACCTAACAAAAATAACAGCAGTAGTCACCACAGAATACCACAGAAGAGGGAGGGTTGACAGTCTTTTATTAGGTACACACCTGTTGAATTGTGTCCCCTAATGATACGCAATATAAACCCTAACCTCTATACTTGTGGTTATAATCCCATTTGGGAATGAATTTTCTGTTACGTTAACGAGGCAGGATTAGCGTAGCATGCGTCTTAAGTCGATGTCTTAAAAGAGATAAAAGGAGCAGACTAGGCAAGCATAGATGGGGGAAAGAGAGATGCCAAGCCCCATGAAGATCGCCCAGGAGCAGAAGCTCAAGAGTCAAGGACCTCCCTCCAGAGCCGACAGACAGAGAAAGTATTCCCTTAGAGCTCTGAACTTGGACTTCCAGCCTCCTCAACTGTGAGGAAATAAATTTGTTTGTTAAAGCTATCCACTTGTGGTATTTCTGTTATAGCAGCACTAAATAACTAAAACAACACCCAAGTGTCTTCAAGCCAGGGGACAGATGATCGTTAAAATGCACAGCATCTTCCTACTTCTTCAAGCAATCTGTTTCGAGAATTGAAGCCAGTGAAGGCAAGTGCTAAAATCTGGATATGTTTTTTTCATTCCTGCTCCATCTGTCTTATAATCAGGTTAATTCCTCTAAGATTCTCATATTATCTCTCTGTCTTAGATTAGCATAATTAAAAAAAAAGAAAAACCTAATGTACTTTTAAAGCACAGTTTAAATTAGGCTTACTAGTAAAATCTTTAAACAAATCTTAGTAAATTATAGCTGAACTTAATACAAAAAAATTATTAACAAAACCTCACCTCATATTATTAGAGCCAGTAAAAAGTAATGACTGAAGACCACGGGCTCAGGAATCAGACAGCTTGGGTCCAAATCCTGGTTCTGCCACTTACTAGCACTATAACATTAAAGAAATTCTTTCAATGTCTAGGTGTCTTCATAAATTTTAATGGAGATAATAATACATTCCTAACAGTTTCTTGAGAGGGTTAAATAAATTAACACATATAAAGTGCTTAGAAGCATGTCTGACATATAGTAAACTCCCAATAAATGTCAGCAATTTTATTAATTACAATTACATTGCTGATGACATGGCACTGTATGCTGTGTGTCCTTCACAGATAATGGAATAAGTCTTGAATATTATCTGAAGATGAACTATTTTAGTAAGTTTAGCAATCTCAAACATTAAAGAAATTTGTTCATAAGTCAATCAATTAAATAATTTATAATGTGGATTTCCTTTGTTCATTATTTCCAAAAGCATCATTTTAAAATTTCATTTAGGGTGTGTGGGGGAGGAAGGAGGGCAAGGAGTAGAAAAAGTTTCAGGTTTCTTTGAGACTAAGTTTATAAGGGTGTAATGCTGTAAACCACTGGCTTTCCCATTAATCAGAAACCAAATTCTTGTTTTAAGTCATACTTTCTTTCCTCCACCCAATATGGCTATTATTTTATTATATTCTCCTTGACCACGGGTCTCTTATCTAACTAGTCTCAGACTGAAGGATTAACACTTAATGTCTGTGTCATGTGATGATTTAGAAAAATGCTACATATTTACTATCTATTTCCTTAGTCAAACAATGGTATAGTTCAGTTTCTCTTTCTTACTTCAAAATTAGTGCAACGGTATGCTTAACTCTACTTCATAATTTTTTCTATTAATCTTCACAGTGCTGAATAGAGTATAAATACACTCAATCAGCTCATGAGGACTTTTTAAAAAACTGTAATACCTGGGCTCAACTCCCAGATATTCTGATTCAATTGGCATGGGTTAGAATCTGGGCATTGGTATTTTTTTAAAAGTTCCCCAAGTTGAAATCTGAATAAGGTCAGTGCATTGTACCAATATCAGTTTCCTGGTTGTGACACTGTACAACAGTTATACAGGTTTTACCAATGGGAACAACTGGGTGAAGGGTACAGGGGACGTCTCTGTACTATTTCTTGCAACTGCATGTGAATCTATAATTACTTCAAAGTAAAGTTATAAAAAAAAAAGTCCCTCAAGTGATTCTAGAAGAAATGATGCCTTTCAATTATGGTGTTGATGAAGAATATTGAATATACCGTGGACTGCCAGAAGAACGAACGAGTCTGTCCTGGAAGAAATACAGCCAGAGTGCTCTTTGGAAGCGAGAATGGCAAGACTTTGTCTCACATACTTTGGACATGTCAGGGACCAGTCCCTGGAGAAGGACAACATGCTTGGTAAAGTAGAGGGTCAGTGAAAAAGAGGAAGACCCTCAACAAGATGGACTGACACAGTGGCTGCAACAGTTGGTTCAAACGTAACAATTGTGAGGATGGTGCAGGACCCGGCAGTGTTTCATTCTGTGTACATAAGGTCGTTATGAGTCGGAATCAACTTGACAGCACCTAACAAAAGGTGACTCTAATGTATAGCTGAGATTGCAAACCACTGCAATAAACACTTTGATTTGTTTGAAGAAGTGAAATCTTCTTAACAACTTGATTGCTAAACAGGTATCTGGAGATACCTGTTAATAATTCAATTTTACTAAAGTGTAATTCACAAATAATTATAAGCACCTATTTTAACAGTTCAGTACATCCTGTCAAAGTATGTTGTTGTTAGGTACCGCCAAGTTGGTTTCGACTCATACTGACCCTATGCACAACAGAACGAAACACTGTCTGATCCTGTGCCATCCTCACAATCATTATGCTTGAGCCCATTGTTGCAGCCACTGGGTCAATCCATCTTGTTGAGGGTCTTCTTCTTTTTTGCTGACTCTCTATTTTACCAAGCATGATGTCCTTCTCCAGGGACTGGCCCCTCCTTATAACATGTCCAAAGTATATGAGATGAAGTCTCACCATCTTTGCTTTTAATGAGTATTCTGGCTGTACTTCTTCCAAGACAGATTTGTTCATTCTTCTGAAGGTCTATGTATATTCAATGTTCTTCACCAACGCCATAATTCAAATGCATCAATTCTTCTTCAGTCTTTCTTATTTATTGTCCAGCTTTCTCATACATGAGGCAACTGAAAATACCATGGCTTGGGACAGGCATACTTTAGTCCTCAAAGTGACATCCTTCCTTTTTATGACAAAGTATACACACATGTAATCACCACCTCAATCGATAATCACCTCATTACTCCAAAAAGTTGCCTCATGCTGTTATTCAGTCAATTCCCCCACCTCACCCCACACAATGATTTACTTTTAAGATAATCTCTTTTAAAAAATGGTTTAAGATATCCTTTGAAGGAAATTTACTTTCCAACTTGCCTTTTGAAGGTATATTTGGATTCCCCTTTAGATTAGAACCCTGGGCTATATACCCTTTTCCCTTTAATCTATGCCTTGGAACATAACTGCTGTATCAGCATGGTAAGCCAAGCTTATACAACAGAATTACTAAATTCAATTTAGGGTTAGTTCTTAATGTTTAAGAAGATTTAGGATGGAAAAACAAACAAATTTGATATTAAGACATCTTACCTACTGGCACAGAGATCTTTCTCTTCTTAAAATTTGGCTTAAACACAAAGCAGCCCTTTAAAAAAGAAAGGAAAAAGTAAAGTCCAAGTAGCCAAGGATCAAACAAGTCTGATAAATCAAAATCTTAGGGATAAACATATTTTAAAAAACAAAAAAAAAGTCATTAAAGTTCTAAGAAATCACGTCTTCTATCTATATTACAGAAGGAAAATTCTTAATTAAATAACAGGGGATTATCCATTTCTTTCCTCATCTTTGATTTCACTCTTTGGGACTTGATCTAAGAGGCAGACAAAGAAAATAAAAGCTGATAAAATTTCAACCCACAAAGATTTCATTTTCATAAAGCTTAAGAGAAGAAAAAAATTAATACTACATATTGAAAGAAGATCAAGGTCAAAAATAGTAACATTCTCCTATTCCAAAGAAGTATTTATTATTTAATTAAACTCTAGTTATCTAGAACTTTAACAGGAAATAAATAATTTCGGCTATTATTTCACCCTACATACCTTTCTTTATGTGATAAACTCTTACTAATTTATCCATGAAAGCTGTATTAAAAAATTGCTTCTTCTGGGAAACCTTCTCCAATTCTCTAGTCAGAACTGCTTCTTCCCCTGTGATCTCACAGTGCGTGATAAATCTTTTTTATTTTTTTTTGTTTTAAATCACTTTCACTATGTATCATACTTATTTACGGGTCTGTCTTCCCAAGTAGATTGTGAGCTCCTTCAGAGTACAGACTGCATTTAATTCATCATTGTTTCTCCAATGTTTAGGATAGTGTTGACATATTTATTAGGCAATCACTACACAGAATGATTGAATGCTTGCCATGTAATTTTCCTGATAATTTCCTATACAATCATTTTTATATTTAGCTACATTTAGTTTCATATTATTAACTAGTGCTACACAGCCCAGCCCCCATCAATTCTACCAATCTTAAAGCCATTTCTATAGAAAATGAAAAAAAGAATGAAAGAATTATACCTAGAAAAAGTCATCTCAAGATAGTGGATTATAGGTTTCATAATAAGAACTGTGCCTTATAGATGAATAATTGTTACGTCTTAAACTTGAGTTAAAACAAAATAAACAAAAAATCAACTGTGGATGTACGGATTTCTTAAGAAATTGCTTAATAACAGCATTTGTAATAAAGACACTGGGACTGTACATAGTTGAGAAAGAGTGCAGTGTAATTCAATTAATGGGGTAGTGCAGAGCAGTTAAGTGCTCAGCTGCTAACCGAAAAGGTTGGCATTTCTAACCCATCAGCTGCTCTGCGGGAAAAGATTCGGCAGTCTGCTTCCACAAAGATTACAGCCTTGGAAACCCTATCAGGAAGTTCTGCTCTGTCCTATAGGGTCACTATGAGTCGGAATCTGACTTGACGGCAATGGGTTTAGGCTATATTAATTTGATACATAATAGCTAGAATCAGAAAATATTGTGATACTGTCAAGCCTTTTGCGCTGGTTACACATATGTACTGTCCAGTTCATTTCAGGGCAATGAGAGGGATTCAGACAAAATGGACCACAACCAGAAGACAGCAGGGGCAGCAATAGTAAAAGGTCTCCAAAGGAAATCTAACAGCAAATAGTTGAAGAACTGTGGCTATTTATACTGGAGTAATGTCTGGAAGGGGCCCCGGTGGTGCAGTGGTTAAAGCAGTCTGCTGCTAACCAAAAGGTCGGCGGTTCAAATCCACCAGCCACTCCATGGGAGAAAGATGTAGCAGTCTGCTTCCATAAAGATTTACAGCCTTGGAAACCCTATAGGCTCACAATGAGTCAGAATCGACTCAACGGCACGGGTTTAGTTTCGTTGAGTAATGACTAGGGGGAAGATGGCATGATATCTGTCTTCAAATATTTAATTATTTCTTTATGGTACTTCCAATAGACAATGGATAGAATTACTCATAGGGAGGTAGCTTCCAGTTCTACATAATTGGGAACACTGTACGAAAGTGAGACTTCAGAATTCCCAGCCACTGCAAAGGTTAAAACACCATCTTTTATAGGTGTTATAGAGGAACAGAGGTAGTACTAGATGGCTTATAAGCACCTTCCAGTTTTAAGCTCTTGTTAAAACTTAAGTCAAATCATATCATGTCTCTGCTCAAAAACTCTCAATGGTTTCTAATCATAGACATAACCAACTAAAGCCCTTCCAATCCCCCACCCCGTTACCTTTCTTTCATTTACTATCACCTCCTGCCTTGGTGACTCTTCTCTATCTACACTGGTTTCTGTTGTTTTTCAAACACATCAAGCAAGCTCCTACTTCAGGACCACTGTCTTTGCTGTTCCCTGTGCCTGTAATGTTCTCTCCCTAGATATCTGTTAGGTTTGCTCCCTGAAGCACGTCTTTCTCCAAAGGTCACCTTTTCTGTGAAGTTTTCCCCTTCCCAGTTTTACTTTCTTTCATAGCACTTACTACCATCAAATACTGTAGGTTTTACCTCTCTTGCTTATTGTCTGTCTCTCCCTCTTTCAAGAATGTAAGCTCAGTGAAGGCAGAGATTTTTGCCTACTTTGTTCACTTTTTCCCTATCATTTAGAACAGTCGCCTAGCATCTAACAGGTACTCAAAAATATTTTTGAAAGAATGAACTGAATTCATGATGGTATAAAATTTATACTATAAACTGAAGTGCTGAATTTGCTGTTTCCTAATATTAGTCTGGACAGCATCAAAGGGTGTGTGTGTATTGGGGAGGTGTGGTAGGTGGACTATTAATAGAAATAGCAGAAATGCTTTATAGTTGCTGCCACAGGATATTTAGGCAGTGGGACACCAAAGAGCTTGTCTTTGGCTCCCTTCCATATCCACCTGCAATTCAGCAAGGAAAAGAAGCTGCAGATAACTGAGATATGAAAAGGGCCCAGAATGGATCCTAACAGATGGCAGGGGTAGTAATATAGTTAACCACTTTGAAATGCTGGTCAAGTGATGGTATTTGCGATGAAGGAAAGAGTTTAAGAGCCAACAACCAGAAAATGTGATGAAGAAAGAGAAATAAAAATGTTTAGAGAGATTAAATAAAAAAGCTGGCAGTTCTATGAATTCCTGAAATGGTCCTTAAAAATTCTTACTTATGTGAGGTCTCCCTCATAATCATTCCAAGACAAGCATTTCTGCTACAATGCCATAGATTCTTTCCTGAAAAAAATCTCACATGCTACAAGATACACAAAATAAGAGGAGCTTATGCCAACACAGGATTAGGAAACAGACCACTCAAAACCTATGAAACTTTATAACCACAGCAAAAGAAAAACAATACCTAATAAAAATACTATCACAGTTAAATATCTTCTGGCATTTGCACCCAGTATCACAGTCAATACTTTGTAACTTCAAATACTAGGGCTTGTGCTTTTTCTTTGTGATGTAGTCTTGGAAGGCACTGCTTCTCATAGACCATTTTAATCAAAATTAAAAATTGGATCCAGGGTATAGACTTTTTCATTAATCCATTGTTTCAACATAGGGAGAAACATCTTTGCAGTTTCTTTATCTGCATTCTCAGCTTCGTCAGAATTTTACTTTGTGGAAAGCTTAGTGGTTCTTGAAACCACCAGACCAGGCACTACTTGCACTAAAGGAAGGTACTTGTGTAGATTTTCATTCTTTTTTTTTTAAGGTTTTCATTTATTGCTAGGCTTTCTCTTTAATAGTGATAAATGTTAACAGGTCAAGAAAAATCACATATGAGGAGACCAACACAACTCCTATGTTATCCTGACATCATTCTCCTATTTACCATTAGCAAGTGAGGTAGTTTGAAGCAAGAAACACAAGTTATCTTACAACAGACTGAATTTATTAAGCAGCTCTTGGTTACAGAGCCAAGAAAAGTCGATACTTTACATATAACTAAGAAATAAGAATTGAGTCACCTTATATAGTATAATCTCAAAATCCCATGATGTCCAATAACTAGGTACATATTCTCTCCAACCACACCTGCTCTCAAAGATGGAATGAGACAATAAACGCATTTGCTTTTCAGTTACATTCACTTCCTTTCATCTTGTCATACTGTTAAGGATGTCAATATTGTAAAACTCTTGAGCAAGAGAAATCAGCATCCCCCCCAATTTCCAAATAGATAAAAACACCTCTGAATAATGAGGAACAGGGGACAAATGTACAATCTGAAATATGACTGCATGCCTAGGCTTATTAAAATCTAGTAAGTTTTGGCTTAGATATTAGATTCTAGTTCTGAATCTCTCATTAACTCACATATCACAGTGGACAAGTGCTTATTCCTCTGGTGTCTTAAATTTCTTATCCATCAAATGAGTATACTGCTCTTTTCTAGTTACCTCACAGGATTACATTAAAGACCAAACAAATGTGAACAGCTTCAAACACATGGAGGACACAAGCCAAGGCCCCGCATATTAAAGATGTAGCAAGACAGGCCACAAAACAGTTGGGTTTAAAAGTCATTTTTTTTTTCCAGGTTTCTTTTAATGGTTCCCATGACTGAATCCTACCACTATTTATACACTTTGTGCTACGATTATTGACACATGAAAGTATGTGTAAGCCCTGGTGGCTTTTCTGAAAAACTATTTGTCAGATATCTACATTAAGCTTGAAAACAGTATCCATATCATCTTCTATACGTTTCTCATCATGTTCTCTTTATAAGGCTCAATATACCATTATAATCAGAGCAAAGGCTTGTTAATAAACCAAGAGCATAGTCAGAGATTACAGCGAAAAAGAACTATTTCCCTCTTCAGCTTAGAAGTTTTTCAGGGGTTTCCCATTGCTCTCAATAATAAAGTAACATAATATAACGGTCTTACTTTACATGGTACAGAGCAGCACAGTCCAACAGAACTTCCTGCAATAATGCAAATGTTCTATATCTGCACTATCCAGTATGTTAGCCCAGTACATATGGTTATTGAGCACATTGGATACCGCACCAATGGCTTGTGGCTAGTGGTTACCGCACTGGACGATGCAGCTCTAGAGTTTATTTCTTGCCAAATACACCATCATGTCTTGCAATCTAGGCAGTCCTTATGAAGCAGTCTATACGATCACACACACGCATTACTTTTCATTCTCATTTTTCATAACTCTTTCTGCTTCTCTGCTTTCCAATCATACTGATTATTCAATTTCATTAATATGCCATATTATATTTATCCTCTGGGCCAAAGCACACGCTATTCTTTTAGAACAGCTCCCCTACCCCAACCTGTGCCTGACTTTTACTCATATTTCAGGTTGTGGCTAAAATGTCACTTTCTCAAAAACGCCTTCGTTGACCACTCCTCTCTCCCACCCCACCCCCAATAAATATTATTAGGTTCTTCCCAACCTTTTGTTCTCTCAGAACTTTTTTCTTCCTAACACTTATCATAGTTTGTGATAATCACTTTATCTGTAGGTTCAATGCCTTTCTTGAGGGCAGAAACTGGGTCTATTTTGTTTAACACAGTACTTGAAGTACTTAACGGAATGCTTGGTGCACAATAAATATGAGAAGGAAGGGAGACTAGGGTACGTCCTCGGGACATTCGACTTCCACAAACCAGAATTTTAAAATCCTCCTAGCCAGACCACTAAGACAGAGTTTCCGCGTCCTTGTTCCCTTAAACAAAGTAAAGTTGGCATCAACTGGACCTGGGCAGACGCCTGAGCTCGGTCCGCCGCTCCCTCCCCATAAGCCAGGGAACCGAGGCCTACGTAACCTCCGCTTCGTTCCTTCTCCATAGGGAATAAGGCGGTGACGAAACCCCACCGGCGCCAGCTCCCACGTACCTTGGACACCGACGAGGTGGCCATCGTCTTAGCCGCCCTCGGGATTCCAGATGCACTCAGGATTTCCCGCGTGCCCTCGCGGCAAAAGGGCAGAGGTTAGAGGCGGGCCATGCGAGTCTTTGATTGGCTGGCATCGCCCCCTGTGGCGGGCTTCCGGTGTGCGGAGGCGTGGCGTGCAGAAGTGGGCGGGGAGAAACTCCCAGGCTGCTTTTCTGGACGAGCTACACCGTGGCAGGACATGGCGTGCGGTTTCCGCAGGTCCATCGCCTATCAGGTATGAACCCCAGAGCGGAAAGAACGAGTGTCCTCGCGGAGCCCTGCACTCCAAAGCCCTTTCACCACAGCGAACCAGTTCTCAGTCAGCGAGAGGGCCGCTAACCTCCCTAACCCTGTTTGTTTCTCCCGCCTCCTCCCCCTTCTCTGGAGCTGCTGGCGCTTGCAGAGGCAAATCAGTAGAAAGGGAGAGGGTGAAAAACAAACCTTGAAGGGAATGTGTGGATTTCTTCGCTCCCTCCCACCTCACAGCTTTGTATCCTTTACCTGGATGGGAAGTTATTGGACCATAATTAGACCTTATAGAAGTTAGTGTTTCTTGTTGTTAGGTGCCTTTGAGTCGGTTCCGACTCATAGTGACCATATGTACAACAGAACGAAACACGGCCCGGTCCTGTGCCACCCTTACGATCGTTGTTATGTTTGAGCCCATTGTTGCATCTCGTTGAGGGTCTTCCTCTTTTTCACTGACCCTCTACTTTACCAAGCATGATGTCTTTCTCTAGGGACTGTTCCCTCCTGATAACATGTTCAAAGTACCTGAGACGAAGTCTCTCCATCCTTGCTTCCAAAGAGCATTCCAGCTGTACTTCCTAGACAGTGAAGTTGTTGATGGCTCTAAATATCCATTCGAAAGGATGTAATTTAAAAGCTGGTTATTTCTTTTGCAGTCATTTGGCAGCCTGTCCTAACATTATTATTTTTATTAACTCCAAAGGTACATGAGACCCTATTTTTTCTTCAGTCGTATTTGAACAACTCTGTAATGAGAAGGGATGAAAAACTGCAAAAAAAATCTGAAATTCATGAAAAAGAATTTTTAAAACTCATCGGCCACCTATGGAAGTTTACAAGGAAACTTCCCCTTGTGGTCCCGACAAGCCATTTCCATTTTCATTAATGAATATAGTCTGCCTGGCGTAAAATTTTCCTTAGTTCATTTTTACAGTGTTTCTGGACATTGTGAGGAAATTACTCTGCCTTGTCTTTATGCTCCTAGATGCACTGCCTGCCCTGTCAAGGCTGGTCCCCCAAATATCATCAATGCGATCATTTGATAAGACAAAGCTGCGTTTATTGCTCTACTTGATAGAGCTTTAATAGTGCCTTGGACTAGGAAGACAAGGTCTGACTTTTCTGAGAATTTGATGTTTAGTTTAAGGCTGGTCTTTCAATCAGGGTAGGTAGGGCTTGAGTAGAATTGAGTATGGATCTTGATATAACAGTTCAAGACTGGTGGAAAGAGCAAAGTGAGGATTTTGAAGGAGGAGTGCAAGGAGTCTTAGGGCACACACTGTTGATGCTTTATATTGAAAAGTTGATTTTTTTTTTAATTGTTGTACTATAAGTGAAAGTTCACAGTTCATGTTAGTTTCTCATATAAAAATTTATATATACATTTTTATGTGACCCTAATTGTTCTCCCTATACTGTGATAGTACCTTCCTCCTTTCTACCCCTGATTTCCCGTGTCCATTCAACCAGCTCCTGATCCTCTCTGCCTTCTCATCTAACCTCTGGACAGGAGCTGCCCATTTAGTCTCACGTATCTACTTCAGCTAAGAAGCACACTCTTCACGAGTATCATTTTATGTCCCATAGTTCAGTCTGATTTTTGTCTGAAGACTAGGCCTTGGGCATGGTTTTAGTGCTGGGTTGACAGAGGGTCCAGGGGCCATGCTTTCAGGGGTTCCTTCAGTCTCAGTCAGACCATTAAGTCTGGTCTTTTTACTACAATTTGAGTTCTGCACCCCACTTTTCTCCTGCTCCATTAGGTACTCTCTGTTGTGTTCCCTGTCAGGGCAGTCATTGTTGGTAGCCAGGCACCATCTAGTTTTTCTGGCCTCAGTCTGATGAAGTCTCTGGCTTATGTGGCCCCTTTTGTCTCTTGGGGTAATATTTTCCTTGTGTCTTTCGTGTTCTTCATTCTTCTTTACTCCAGGTGGGTTGGGACCCAGCTGATGCATCTTAGATGTCTGCTCACTAGCTTTTAAGACCCCAGACACCATTCACCAAAGTGGGATGCAGAACATTTTCTTAATAAACTTTGTTACGCTAGTTGACCTAGATGTCCCCTGAAAAATGGTCCCCAACGTATAGGTCTAATGCTCTTTAATTTTTCCTTGGTTGGGCTAAATGTTCTAATTACACTGTGATTAAATATCCCTGTATTTACAGTATATTTTAGCTTTGCTGGGGACTATCACAGTCAGCTGTCACATCTACAGATGATATTGAATAAAACTATTGGATTTTTTTTTTTTTTAACCAATTCAGTAGTGTTTAACTGAACACAAATTTGGAACAATAGGTCAACAATTCTTTTACTCTGTTTTGTTCTTTTTGAATTTTAGCTTTCCAGGGTGTTGGATCTTCCACCAGAAAACTTGATCAAGTCAATATCCGCAGTTCCAATTTCCAAAAAAGAGTTAAGTATAATGTATTTGTAACAATCTGAACTGTTGCTGATTTTGTTAATAGGCAGAACAAAAAAAACACACAAAACTTACTGTCCTTAGTTTACAGAATAGATAGTTCCCGAAATTAACCATAAGGTATGACTCTGTATATTAAACTTTTTTTTATTGACTTAAATAATAAAATGTTTATTTTAGATGTGGCAGATTATATTATTATTGACATATTAATTGTTTTGATGTTTGTTTATGTTAGTAAATATAATTATGGCAAAGTAAGAAAAATTAGAATTAAGGTTGGTATTTAACAACAAATAAAAGAACTAGAATTTTTCCTGTACTAAGATTGCAGTTGGAATCTCAGCTTTTTTGAGGGGATCTTAAAGACTATACTAACCAATGCTTGAATACTGTTGTACCATTTTTCTGTAGGGTTTTTTTTTTTCTTTCTTTTTCTTATTTCACTTTCTGCTTGAGGATCCCCAATGATAGAGAACTATTGGTTAGGACTACCTATAACTGATAGTCACTTCATTGAATGCAGGGAGAGATCTATATCTTTGTGAGTTGGTCATTCTAATTCATATTTGTTTGTCATTTGGGTAGAAAAACTTAAGTATTTAGATAAAATATCCTCTCAGTCAGTTAATAATGGCAAGAAATTAACCAGATAGGAGAATTTGAGCCCTAAGCTTGGGAAAGATATAAAGAAATAATTTTCTGTACCATTATGTCATTGTACATTATCTTCTTAACTTTGTCAGGACTTTAAAGTAGAGTAGGATGAATACCCTTATTCCCAGAATAGAACAAAGAAACAAATGGAAAAAGAAGAGAAAGTCTACATTTGATAGGGTATGCCTGGCCTTGTAGTAAAAGAGAGCACTTATAAAGTGGCTTCCTGGTACTTCTATATTGAGTCTAAGAACAGAGGCAACCGCTGACCAAGGAGGCCTCATAATTATATGTAAATTGAGGTAACATTCAAAACCAGTTACTTATTTCATAAAATCTATAAAAGTCATTCTTCGTACTAGGGAGAATGTCTCAGTTTTATTTATTGTATGTTTTAAAGGTTTTTAATAAGCTGAATTATTTTGGTCCATCTTTTGAACAAAATATCCTTTACCTTCTTGGGGCTCCTTTGGGAGCTCCACCTTAATAATCTGAAATACTAAGACTTTGACCTATAGAAAATAAATTTTCAGGAGGGCTCAAAATTTTTCTGGGCTATAATCTAAAACTCTGCATGTTAAATTTGCTTAAAAGGATCTTCTACTGTTTTGCCATAACAAACCCTAGTATTCCTTGCAATACAAAGCCAAGTTATTTGGTCTGCATTTCTGACTTTAGTCTAAAATACTATTAAGTTGCAGGAGAATTAAGAAATATTGTTTTGTTTTTGTTTTTGTTTTATATTTTATTGTACTTCAGGTGAAGGCTTACAGAACAAATAGTTTCTCATGAAGCAGTAGTACACATGTTGTTTTATGACAT